CTGGCTCATTCATAGGAAAGTAAAAAGTAAAATAGTTCAGTTGTTTATACCACATGGTACTACACCCAAGCTGTATTTTTCTAAGTAAGTTTTTTTCCTAAGCAAAAGCAAACATATAAAACATATACTTGTACTTTGTTTTTTTTAAAAAAAACTGCCTAAGATAAATCTGCTTTCAATCACAATTTTCTAAACAGTGTTTTTAACTAGTTAAGACATGACAAACTAGAAATATGGGAATTTATTAAATTATATGTCTGACAGGAATGAGAGTATTATATTTTAGAAAGTGTACAGTAGTTAGAAACTCAGCAATAAAATTATTGTTATTTTGGTTTGATATAACCTCCTTTATGATTATACAAATTTCCACAAATATTCTCCTATCATCCTTTTTCTTTATAGAAGAAAGAGCCAATCTTTTTACTTTGCCTTCAAGTGACTTCAGCTTTCCTTTCTGGGTTAAGTTAAAGGTCTAACAACTCAAAGAATAGATCATTTTTAGTAGGCTAGTCAAAGAGATCTAACCGCCCATGTCTCTGGCCTAAAACTTTCAGTTAATAAGCAAAGCTCCCCTGACTGTTAACAAAATTATGAACCCAGGTACGTGGCCAGATAAACGTCGTCTTGTCGGTAAGCCTCACACCCCCTAACTAGATTTTAAAGCTTCCAGAGTGTGAGGACCACAGCTAAACATTTCTTCTGAGCCTCCTGGGCTCACGCTGGGCACACTTAGCAGTAAATAACACCAGAGAGGAGGCCCTGGATGGACCGCATGCCGTCACTCTGACTGCCCGACACTGCCTTTCAGGTTTTGTTTTGTATTTTTAACTGAAGTTGATCCAGCTGCTACTTGTAAAGAAATATTAAAAAAAACACTCCAGCTGGATAAGAAGGAGTGATGCTTTAAAATTTTGCAGAAAGGGACCCAGCCAAGGAAAGGTGAGAGAAATATACGCATTTCCTAGAAACCCAGCCTGAGTTTAAATTCTAGAGGGGCTGAACAGCCTGCATTGCTGGCTGAGATCTGGGATCGCATGCCATGTGTAATACTATTAGAGCAGTTGCCATGTGGAGCCTGGGGGACCTGGGGTAAAATGCAGGTCCTTAGCCCAGCAGTTGCCATGTGGAGCCTGGGGGACCTGGGGTAAAACGCAGGCCCTCAGCCCAGCAGTTGCCAAAAGAAAAGCCTCAACCCTAACTCCAGTGCAGAGCACCTAGAGAGTAGGAGCTTAGTGGCAGCCCCTTATAGGAGGAATCTAGGCAAGTCCAGGAGAATTTCATATTCTGGCATTAAAAGGATAATGTTTCAGGATTAGATGGAAGCCCACGGCCCCACATTCTGAGATGTTTTGGTTATAGATTGTCTACACACACAGAAAACGCTGTCACTGCGTACATGGTACGGGCAGACTCTGAGTAACCCTCATCACTGACTAGAACTTCGAAGGCGAGAGGCCACTGAACCTGAGCAGCAGAGCACACATCTCTCCTCAGGACAAAGGAGTCGTCTAAATCCTCGGTGGCTGGATGTGTGCAGACACACGTTTAGGTCAGTGACACAGAGGCACCAACTTTTTTATTGGTGGATAAAATTTTCTTAAAGGCGTATCATTCTGAAATGTTCTATCACTATCCACACCATCACCACCATACCACAACTACAGCTTAGAACCGTCAGGTCTTACATCAGCTGAAAAAAGGGAATATAAGCCACCTCTTTCTCAAAAGCAAGTATCAGTTATACTGTAAAAGCTTTCCAGATGACAAGAAATTGTTTCTGCTTCGATTCATAACTGTGCTCTCTTCTCACATTTCCAAGGAGAGTTTGCTAGGGAAAGGATATGTTCTTAATCAAGCTGTGAAGGCTACGGGAGAATAAAGGGAGAACGGCATTGACAGTGCGCAGGTCACTCACTGCTGGAGATCACGTCTTACTACAGCAGCTGTAACCAAAAACTAAACCAAACCTGTTGCCACTGAGTTGATTCCAACTCACAGAGACTCTACTGGACAGAGCAGAACTGCCCCATAGGGTTTCCAAGGAGCGCCTGGTGGATTCGAACTGCCGACCTTTTGGTTAGTAGCCAGAGTTTCTATAATATCTCGGTGATCTACACATTTCGATTACCTGCTAGAACTAGCAACAAATCAGAGGCCCGGAATGACACACCACCGTGTTCTAATTGTCTCCTGCTCCCTTTTGCTGGCAAAGTGAGCTTCTTGAGAAAAGCAGCTATATTTCTAACACATAGCAGAGTCATCTAACACAGCAGGTACACTAAAAGGCATTCCTTAGTTAACACAAAAAATATGCCATCTGAGAGCCATAAATGCACATATCCATAAATGTTAAATAACACTTTATATTTGTATCATGAATAATTTTCTGAGCACTTTCATAGATGCCATCTCATTTTATCCTTCCAATAAATTTATGTTAGACAAATATTGTTATACCCATTTTTTAAATACAAGAAAATACTTTCAGAGGGACTGAATGACTTGTCTAGGGTTACAAGCTAACGTGCTGGAGCAGAAGCGGGATTACAACAGGGCTGCTGGCTCCTTGGTGTGGGGATCTACAATATCATGATTAACGCATTTTTTTGTTTTTGCTTTTAATTAAAAGTTTTTTTTTTTTTAACGTTATACTTAACCAATCTAGAAACATACAGTTGTTAACATCAGAGACAATGTTTTTTTTCTTCCAACTCATCAAAAACCAAAAAACCAAACCCACTGCCATCGAGTCGATTCCGATGCATAGCGACCCTATAGGACAGAGTAGAACTGCCCCATATGGTTTCCAAGGCTGTAATCTTTACGGAAGCAGACTGCCACATCTTTCTCCCACAGAGCAGCTGGTGGGTTCCAACTGCCGACCTTTTGGTTAGCACTGTACCACCATGCTCCTTTCCAACTAAAGGATACTACTAAGTTTATAATAAATGCTCAAGAAATGTTAATGTACCAGTGAGTAGATGACAAACATCAATTTTAGCAATGAATGAATAGTCAGACCATACTAAAGGTACTGTCAAGAAGGACTAGACAACCAAGCAGGCGAGAAAGCTGTGTCTCTTGTAGACAATATGCAAAAACTCAGATAATAAAACAGTTCACCGACGACACACCCAAAAATCAGGGAGAAACTCACATCAGTATCCGTAACAGGAAACGTAACACACTAATACCATGACCCAGAGATTCTATAGCATCGCAGAGATACGCTCGTACATAGACCTAGAGATACAGCAAGAAGGTTCAATGACTGATAATAGCAAAAAACTAGAAACAACCCAAATATCTATTAAGGAGGATAAATACATAAATCATGGTATTATGACATTTGCCTATGATGGAATACTATGCATCAGTGAAAATGTGTCATCACGGACGAATCTCACAAATATAAAATTAAGCAAAAAAGCATGTCACAGAAGAATGTACTCAAGAGTGATACTATTTTTATAAACTCAAAAATATGCAAAAGGAAACAATAAATTAGGGATACAGACATATATGATAAAAATATTTTGCAAAGCAAAGAAATGATAAACACAATATTCAGAATAGTAGCTACTTATAGTGGAAGGAAAGGATGCACCGTTGGGAAGGGGCACAGGTAGAGTTTCAAAGATTTTGGTAGTGTTCTAGTTCTTAGCTGAGAAATAAGTACAGAGTTTGTCTCATTATTTAAAAAATAAAAATCTGTATCATATGACTTCTTTGTATGTATGATATACTTTATGATTTAAAAATACACTGATACTAAATTTCATCTGGTCCCATCTAGAAGAAAAACAGATTTGTACAGATAGAAGGAAAAGAAAAGCATTTCCTATTCTATATAAAAAGCAAAACACAGAAAACAAAAAGCTCCACAGCTTTGGTATATTTGGTAACCTAATCAACTTCTGTCACTCAGTCTTAAAAAAAATTAGATTGCCAGTCATCAATGAAGAGTCCTTGGCAGTAAAAATGCACCTTTGCTTTTCATGATGTTCATTAACAGATTTTGTTTGCAAATATATCAGTTACTGGTACAGTTATCATCTAGGGGGGAAAGTATATCATGTATCTAATACTAGAAACAGATGCTTTAAAAAATCCAGTTTCCTTGGTAGCTTAAAAATGAACAAAAGTGTTTCTTCTTGGTAATGTGTGTAATAAGCTGATAAATTACGGCCCATAACACTGTTCTTATATCTGTATGTTCAAATCTTACAAGTTTAAAATGCAAGACGTTCAGAAGACAGTTTGAAGTAGGATCCCAAAGAGACAAAATTTGAAGGGTAGGACTTCAAGATAAAGTCTTTAGAAAATAAGGAACCATAACTATCATTTTATAAAAAGACAATCAAGTTGTACTTTGCTTTTTTCCTCTCTAAGAGCTGGAAATCCTTTAGAGGACTTGATTTGCTCATTCCTTCATCTGTGGAAAGAGGACAGTGCTCCTCTGCAGAAGAATGGAGGTACAAGGATGGATGGGATGTTGTACCTGGATACAGGTCAGCCCAGGAGAGGCCACTGCAGGGAGCAGGCAAAACCAAGGAGATTCTGGGAGAAGGCTCCCTGAGCCCTGAGCTACAGGCCAGGGTACATGGACAAGTGTGAGGAAAGGCAAGACTAAGGGCCTAGCTTCTCCTCTCACAACAGGCCTTCAATCAGCTGACAGCCAGGAGGGGTGCTAGGGAGGAGAGTGGAAGGAAGGAAAAGAGCACCAGGCAGGCAAAAAAAATGTTACCTACATGACAATTTGGCCAGGAGTCTTCCTACCTACCCCAAATCATCTTTCAAAGCACAGATTCCGAACCCATTTCCCCTTGCTGCTCGATTGACTTATACCCTGACTTCATATTTCATACTAGTACCATAAAACTTGGAGCCCTGGTGGCACAGTGGTTAAGAGCTCAGCAGCTAACCAAAAGGTCAGCAGTTGGAAACCACCAGCAGCTCCTTGGAAACTCTGTGGGGTAGTTCCACACACAACTTACCAATCGATTTTCATCAAACACTTCAAAAAGAAGCCGGTGCTGCTGAGGGTGGACCTAGGTAAGGAAAACACATTTCTTTAAAAACAAGTGACTATCAGTTCACAGACACTGAGAAATAAATACCTGGATATTTCACAGTTTCTAAATTCCTGTTATTTACAATGCATTTTAAATTACGTGGAATTTCTAACACTAAAACAGACAAGTCATGTGCCAACCATTTTCTGATAGTCTTACTATAACAACAAAGTGGATTTGGTTGGTTGTTTTTAGTTTTTCTAAAATAAAAAGAAAGTAAAATTAAATTCAAAAAATTATTGAAATTTTTGCAAGCACTTAAAATATAAATGCTGTTGTTGTTAATTGCCATTGAGTCGATTCCAACTCATGGCAATCCCATGTGTGCAGAGCAGAACTGCTCCACAGGGTTTTCAAGGCTGTGACCTTTTGGAAGCAGATCGCCGGGCATGTCTTCCCAGGCACCTCTGGGTGGGCTCGAACCAACAACCTTTCAGCTGGTAGTCAAGTGCTTAACCATTTGAATCACCCAGGGACTCCAAAATATAGGTATTAACTTCTCATTGTTAATTTTATTTACTCACTTCTCATTTATCAGGTTAGAACTATCCAAAGTGGATGCTGATTTCATGGAAACTAGGGCTCTGAATCGTTTTAGTACTGATTTGATAAAATCATTTATTGCTTCTATTATAAAAGTATATAAACAGTCAAAAAGTATACACTGAGTTTTCATTTACTGTTCGTATTTTATAGCACAGGAGTAAAAATTAACATGCAGTATTTTATTTTTCAAAGCTGGTGCCTTCATTCTTGCTGAAAATTTTAAAGGTCAATTGAAAAATCTACTTAATATCAAACACAAAGAAAATCTTTAATACATTTCTTATACCAGAGTTCACATAATGTATAAAAAATTCTCACATTTAGGTTGTTTTTCTTCCTTAAGACACGTATATTACACTAAACACTGCAATACTTTCAAACCTTGGTCTACATGTCAAAAATATCCATAGCCTTCAGAACAAAGACCTAAAAGAGTGAGGAAGCTATCTAGCTACCCATATCCGCTTTCCCTGCCTTCTAAGAACATAATCCCAGTTTTCTCTGCAGCACCATGCCCAAGGAAACTACATTGCACAGACCTTTTTTATTTTTTAAACTGAGGCATAACATACATTCACCAAAGTATAAAGTGCACTAATCTCAAGTGTACAGGTGATGAATTTTTACATATGTACACTGTATAATCATCACCCAGATCAAGATATCGAACACTCCCACTCTATGCATTGTTTTCTATGTGAATGGTGCCCCTGGAATTGTCCAACACGGAGACCCTGAATATGTCAGTCTATAACTGCTTCTCTTGTATGTAGGGATAAACAATGAGGCCAACCTAGTAGGAGTTATTGCATGGGACTTGTGGGAGGATTCTTTATTGGGGGCTGACTCAGCTTTTGCCCTTTGCATTTCTCTTTCCAGCCTGGAATTTGGTTAAGATAGCTGGCACTCCTGCAGCCATATTGTAACCACAGAGCAACTCAGAGGATAGACGCCCCGGTCAAGTGCTAGACAACGTGGGGATAGAAAAAAAGGTAAGACGATAATCTTTTCTAATAAGGACGTAGAAGTTTTGGGGAGGAGACGAAACTTGAGCTGAGACTTGAAGAATGTGAAGAATTTGAGTAAGAAAGTGGAGAGAACATTCACAGCAATGAAGTCATGCAAGAAAAGGCTTGGGGGCAGAATGAGCAGGCTTTAAGGAGATCAGACTGACAAAGAACATTTTTGTTTTAGAGAGTGGTAAGAAAAATTTGGTTAGTTAGTGTAGGGCCAGATTAAGAACACTGAAATTCAGAAAAGGAGTTAAAGTCTTGATTGGCGGGGGGACATCGATTTTAAAGATGATGTGGGTAGTATGTAAATACTATTTTGTCTGGTTCACAGATGAATCGGACTGGAGAGAGACCCTTGAGTCCATAAGGACTGCAGCTCCAGTAACTCAGGCACAAAGTGATGAGTGCTCTGGCTGGTATGAGAGCAAGGAGGGAGACACGGCCATGAAAAACATTTTGAGAAAATAAATCAGAAGTATCAGTGTCTATCAAAGTACCTGGCAGACAATGCAGATGTTCGATAAATATTGCAAAGAAAAAAAAAAGCTATAATATTTGATCTATTCAGGCTTCTGCTGCCCTGGTTCAGACTATAATTAGTAGCTTCCTAGCAAGGTTCTCTACCTCAACTATCTTATCTTTCTAATCTATCCTTCCTACTACAACTGGGATGACTTACCTAAAAGGCAGGTTAGGTCACGATACTACTACCCTGCTCCAAAGTTGTTCCCAAGGGCCTCAGAGTAATTCCAGATGCATACGCATGGCAAGACTGTTCTCCATCTGAGCCCAACTGGCCTTTCTAGCTACATTTCCTACAACTGCTCCCCTGTCCACACTCATACACGTAAACCCTTCTCGCTAATCACTCTAGAAACAGGCTACTCGCTGCTTGCTGCGTGTTCTGACCTGTACTTCTGCACATGCTAAGATCCCTCCATTTGCAACACCTCCTCCAGCTCTCCCCGTCCCAGTTCTGCCCATGGTTCAAGCTGGGCTCAAATGCCAACTCCTCCCCAAAACCTTACTTTGCAGGTTATTCCTATCCCTCTGTTTTCAAAGCAGTTTACTACATTCACTACATTCCGCCTTTTATTAAAGTTAACTGAGTATATGTGATATCTTCCCTACTGAATTCTACACAAATAAAAGACTTATTTACAGTGTTTTTTTATTTTTATTTTTTGTATATCGGAGGCACAAAATAAATGCAAAAATACAATTAAAAATGTGCAGTGAGAATTCTATTTCAAAAAGGCAACCTGAACACAAACATTTATCCTCTCTCTCCCATAGATCCTATTAAATGATAGTAATGGAGTTTATAAAACCATCTTCGCAAAGGTAATACGAGAGGGCCATCAGCAGGGGAGTGATTTCAACAACTCACTAGCAAGCAGATGAAGCAGGGACGGGAGTGATGAAGCAGCTGGAGGATGCTGGAAACTATTTAAAAAAACAAAAAAAACACAAGGGGTTTTGAAACAAAGGAGGTAACCAACACTGAAGAGACAACGTTTCACAAACCATCTCAACATCTGGATGACAACATCTGGATGGTATGCGTGCACGCGCACACACACGTACACACATTATCAAAGATTTTCTCTTTGTGTCTAATTTCAGGTAGAGATTTAACAAAAATGCCAGCATTGGGTTTAATATATAAAATATAAATGGTAACTAAAAATGTAATATGTAATTGTTGCATGTTTAGGCCTTTTATGTGTAGAAGCAACAGATGATTTTTCTATTCTCTCACTGTTAGACAACCAGAAATCACAGATGTACAAACAGAAAAACTGTCCCCAAAGGAAAAGAGATAATTCAGGAAACAAAACACTTTTAAAAACTGTCAGTAGTATCCTTAGAAATATTTTGTAAGCCTTGCATCCCTAAGACAGAACTAGGATGCTATAAAAAGGGAACAGAGAACAAAGAAGGGGTTTTGGAACTAAAAATGACTGTTAACAATAAAAGCGATTCAAGATCCATTTGTAAAAATCTCCCAAAATGTAGAACAAAAAGAAGTTGAAGGAAAATATAAGAGAAAATAAAAGAGAGATTTTTCTGACCAGATTCAGTGAGAGACTAAGCCCCAATGCCCTGAAACAGGAGTTGGGAAAACTTCAGCTTATGGGCCAAATCTAGTTGCAGGCCAAATCCTAAACCAGGGGAAGATTGATGGCAAGGCTCTTCCCCTAGAACCAACGAGAGAGAAAGCCTTCCCCAGGAGCTGGCACCCTGAATTCCAACTTCTAGCCTCCCAGACTGTGAGACAATAAATTTCTGCTTGTTAAAGCCGTCCACTTGTGGTATTTCCGTTACAGCAGCACTGGGAGCGTGCAACACAGTGCTAAAAGATGATCAAGCAATACCTTCAAGTTTTTTAGGAAAAATTATTTTCAGCCTAGAAGTCTACGTACAGCCAAACTACTGGTCAAACGTTAGTCGGCTATTTATTCATCTATCTTAGCTGGAAGTCACTTTGGGACATAGATATACGGGCTATTCAGCAGTACAGAATAATGAGCAGAAAGGCAAACACAGAGTTAAAAAACTGTTCCCTCTGGGAAGCAGAAATAGGAGCAGGAAGGATGGCTATCAGAGTCTGCTGCTTTTCATTACAAACTGTTTAAAACTACCTTATTTTTAAACTATGTGTGAATTCTTTGATGAGGTGTTTTTTTTTTTTTCCCCCAATTATTAAAAATAGGAGTAAACTGTATGCAGGGTCATATTTAAAGGAAAGATGAAAGCAGAAGAATGGAAATAAATTATTTGTGATAAGCTTTCTGGAGAAAGATAAACACAAGAGTCTACATGTGCAAAAAAAAAAAAGAGAGAGAGAGAACCTGCCAGAGGAGTAACCAATTCTCAGAAAAAGCACAGAGGTATTAGTAAGTGTCCATTTATTCTACTGTGTTTACAGAGAGCCTGCAATGCTCCTGAAAATTCTGCTGGCAGTTGTAGGAAAAAAACAAAGTAGGTACAGTTTTAAAAACAGCTTTATTAAGATACAATTCATATACAACTCTCCTATTTAAAGGGTACAGTTCAGGGGTTTTTCGTATATTCATGTGGTTGTGAACCCATCACCACAACTAACGTTAGAACATTTTCATCACTCCAAAAAGAAACCCTGTGCCCTTTAGCAGACATTTCTCCCTTTGTACCAACCTCCACAGCCCTAAGCAACCACTAATCTACTTTCTGTCCCCATAGACATGCCTATGGCAGGCATGGCATATCAACAGACTTCTGTAATATATGGGGTTTTGCATTTTGCTTCCTCACTTAGCATGATGTTTTCAAGGCCCCTCCATCCAGTAGCATTTATCAGTATTTCATTCCTTTTTATTGCCAAATAGCATTCCACTGTACGAATTATACCACATTTTATTTATCCACTCATCAGCTGATGGGCATTTGGGTTGTTTCCACTTTTTGGCTATTATGAAAATGGTAATAAGAACATCTGTGTAAAAGTTTTCGTGTGGGCGTATGTTGTAAGTACATTTAAAAAGTTCGATGAATTAGACAAGAAAGTATTTTTACATGCATAAAGCATTATATAAAGTATCCTGGCATTTTTATTTACATGTGTTATGTTTTTCTACTTTGTCTCTCTAGACACGTAGTTATTTCTAATGAACAAACAGAAAAATAAATCACACATACATGGTCCTGGGGGAAAAAGCCAAACAGTACAAAAGGATCTATAAACCAAAACCCGTTGCTGTTGAGTCAATTTCTACTCACAGCAACCCTACAGAACAGAGTAGAACTGCCCCATAGGGTTTCCAACACTGACCGTAATCTTTACAGAAGCAGACTGCCACATCTTTCTCCTGCAGAGCGGCTAGTGGGTTTGAACTGCTGACCTTTCAGTTAGCAGCCGCGTGCTATAACCACTGTACCACCAGAACTCCTTAAAAGGATATATAGTGAATTATAAATATGTCTTACCCTTGTCCCACCCCCAGAGCAAAACTGCAAACTATTTCTGAGATCCTTCCGGAAGTATTTTCTGCAAATACCAGCATATGAGAGACCATTTTTTGTTTCAGTTTTTACACAAATAGGAGCACCTTTTGCATCTTTGTTTCTTCATTTCATATATTTTGACATTCTCTAACAATACATACAGATCCACCTCTTTTTAAACAACTGAACAGAATTTCATTGCACGGATGTACCATAATTTACTTAGTGCTCTATCGATGGGGTGGCTGGCGCCCTCTTCCCAGCTAACAGAATTCTGATTTTATTCACATATTGGATGACAATGTCGTCAGGGATACATGGCCCCTCCGTCCTAGGGACCGAATCCTGACTCCTCTAAGCCACACGGTAATTCCATTCTCCTTACCAATGTCTGGGTTAGAAATACACACTGACATAGTTAGTCTCCTGGTTGGGGGGGTGGCGGGGCGCTTTTAGGAAACGGTCCTTCCCTTTTGAAAAGAGACATATGGAGCAAGACTCTCCCTTTCCTGCCTCTGGACATCATCACGTAAGGATGGTGTTTGGAGGTGCTGCCAGCATCTTGTGACTACAGAGAGAAAGCCAAGACAATCCCAGAGAAGCTGGTCAGACGTGGCTTTGTTAAGCTGCTGCAGTAACGGACCCTACTCTTCACTTTTTGTGAATATTGTCGTTGTTGTTAGGTGCCGTCCAGTTGGTTCCAACTCAAAGCCACCCCATGTACAACAGAACGAAACACTGCCCAGTCCGGCGCCATCCTCACAACCCTTGCTGTGTTTCAGCCCATCGTTGCAGCCACTGTGTCAATCTATCCCTCCTGATAACATGCCCAAAGTATGGGAAACCAAGTCTCACCATCCTTCCTTCCAAAGAGCATTCTGGCTGTACTTCTTCCAAGACAGACTTGTTTGTTCTTCTGGCGGTCCATGGTATAGTCAATACTTTTCACCAACACCATAATTCAAAGGCATCAATTCTTCTTCGGTCTTCCTTATTCATTGTCCAGCTTTCCCATGCATATGGGGTGATTGAAAACACCATGGCTTGAGTCAGGCGCACCTTAGTCCTCAGAGTGTCATCCTTGCTTTTTAACACTTTAAAGAGGTCTTTTGCAGCAGATTTGCCATATGCAATACGTCATTTGATTTCTGACTGCTGCTTCCACGGCCGTTGATTGTGGATCCAAGTAAAATGAAATCTCCGACAACTTCAATCTTTTCTCCATTTATCATGATGTTGCTTATTGGTCTAGTTGTGAGGATTTTTGTTATCTTTATGTGGAGGAGTAATCCATACTAAAGGCCATGGTCTTTGATCTTCATCAGTAAGTGCTTCAAGTCCTGTTCACTTTCAGCAAGCAAGGTCGTGTTGTCTGCATACTGCAGGTTGGTCATGCGTCTTCCTCCAATCCTGATGCCCCGTTCTTCTTCACAGAGTCCAGCTTCTTGGATTATTTGCTCAGCATACAGATTGAATAAGTATGGTGAAAAGATACAACTCTGATGCACACCGTCCTTGACTTTAAACCACACAGTATCCCCTTGTTCTGTTGGAATGACTGCCTCTTGGTCTATGTACAGGTTCCTCATGAGCACAAGTAAGTGTTCTGGAATTCCCATTCTTCACAATGTTATCCATAATTTGTTATGATCCACA